ACACTCCTGAAACTGGAAGGAGTTTGAGCTACAGAGCAATGACACGTTCACTGCTGCGAATTACACCAATTATTCTGAACTCAGACATCCTTGTAGGGGTACAGCGATAACAAGGAACTTGTGCTGCAGCCTGATCTTCCATAGCCTGTTGTAAATCTGTAGTGGCTGTCTGAAGCCAGAGGAGCCGCATCATTACCTCATTACAGACACAAACAAGGGAAGAATGATTTTCTGGATTGCAATTAGATTATTATAATTTACCGTGTGACTTCCTTAAGTCTCACTCAAATGCCCTCACTTTCCCTGTGCAGCCTCCTTGACTCTTAATGTTTTTCTTTGTATGAATGCACTCCACTATCCCATGAAAGGTGGTGACAATTAATATGTACGCTGGTTGAGAATTCTTTCTGGCATCTTCTTTCCTCTGAGACTATTGAAAGAGAGGCATTTACATATGTATAGTACAATGAACTCAGTCTTCCTTAACATCATATTTTACAAAAATGGTTGTGAAGTCTGTGACAGCACTGTGATTCCATTACATGTAGGAGGAAGATCTAAGCCTAAGATATTTCATTAGGTGGAAATGAGGAATTTTGATGTGGGAACATAAATACCACTAATGGGGATTTACAAATGCTTTTGTGTACAAAGATGTGTTTTAAAAAAGATATGATTCCACTAAGCAATAAATATTTACAAATTTGTTTCATCATTCATATAATATCTAAATATGAACTTTGAGCTTGCTATAAAGAACAGCAAACAGTCTGTAAGTCCAATTTTTTTCTACTCTGAATTGAACAAACCGGTTCAACATATTATAAAAAAAATACACTCAAGAAATATCTGTAGCTCTATTTTTGGTTAATGACACATACAAAAGTTCTGAACTATGTCAAGGAAAGGAGGAAAATGAACATGCTAGAGTGTAGATGCCATTGGCTGACTGCTGTGCTCCTGGTTTCAGTTAACACTGAGTCAGAACTCACTTTGTCAAACCTTGAGTACCTCAGAAGAAAGCTGGGCAATTTTCCTAATCTTGTACAATTGCATGTTCGTGTGGGTTTGAGCGTGTGTGTGTTTTTGTAGGCAAGTGTATTAGTCAATGGTTACCAATTCAAGAAAGAGCAAGGTTACTCAGCAGCCTTTCTCCTATGCATGAAAATATAATTACAGTAAACTTAATGTGAAAAGTTCCAGAGCTTCATAATTTCTGTCCTCCCTACTTCCTGCTCCTCCTTGTCATATCAAGTCTTTACAGTCACAGTCCCCTCTACCCTTGCCAGCTCTGGACATCCTCCCTATGGTCACAGTCTGTGCTGTGCCTGTCTCTTGGGCCCTCTCCCGTCCTCACTTTGGGAAGAACCATTTGTCCTTCCTGCAGTAGCTCGTTAGGCCAGTCCTCTGATGACCCTTACAGAGTCCATTCCCTTTGCTTTACAAAAGCTTGGTTCAAGCCTCCTGCATTCAGGCCAGCAGCACACTCACACCTCACTGTTCCAGCCTCCGGTCTCTCTCCATGCCTACTGCCTTCAGCGCCATTTACTGCATTTTACATCGTTACCCATTACGTGATATTTCTGTAAACAACATGTTCCAGGCTCCAGCTGTACTTTACCATTAAAAGAGCTGTTACATAAGAGGTGTGATTGTTTAAATAAAAGGACTGTTTTATCTTCAAATGTGAACTTTTCTTTCTCCTTAGCCTAACAATGCAAGCTGTGCCAGTTCAGGGGTACTGCCTGGGTAATGAACGGGGAAATTATTCTCCCTGTTCTGTGCATGTCGGTGACCAGGCCTGTATACTGTGCTTTCCCATTCCCTACCCTCTGTACATACACCCTGTGAATGCTTCACAAAAGGTGCTCACCCCTGAGCACCCTGGAGGTGTGGAACTCTTACGGGTACCTCTCATCTCGTTCCCCTTAAAGAAGATCAGACAGCCATGGCAACTATTTTTGGTCCCTAGTTTTTCTATGGTGTGTATCAGGTCTACCCTGGGAGACTAAAGAACTGATAATTCACCACAAGTCTGTGAAAAAGTCATGCAGGAAAGGTTTTCATTAATACTGTTGCCAGTTTATATAATTTCAGTCAATAAAGCCAAAAAAGAGTAGTTAAGGCAAGAAAAGCTGTCATCTTCCTAGAAGATGACAGCAACGAGATAATCTCAAAACAGGTTCATAATCCCATCACTGAAATTCAGTGCTTGCTCATTCTATAGTCATTAACACAAATCTGAAAAACAGGAAAAAATTATTTAGACCACAATCTGATCTTTCAATCTCTTTTTTTTTTTTTCAGTCATACCTTGGATGTGACAAAGCAGTAAGATGAAAGGCATGCATTTTCCTGGAAGCACTGCTTCTGAGGCTAGGTCATTTGATGGCACCAGTATCTTCCTACTTCTGTCAGGGAAGCAAAGACTGTACCTGTGTTTCCAATCATTCCTTTGATACAAACATCTCTCAACTGACCATACTAATACAGGTGAGGAGGACATTTCAGTATTTTACATCCCCAAAAGTTCTCCCACATTCACATAAGCAAAACGCATCTTAGCAGTTTGCTCAGCCATGTGAAATTCTATGTACTACATCACTGAACTTACTCTTGTTTAAATAACAGCAATCATTAATGTGACATGACTAAATTGCCACACCAGAACATCTGTAGTATCACGCAAGCCCTCGCAGTGGGCACCAAAGTACTTACTGAGAAAAAATTAGAACCTATGTAAACCACTCTTTTCCTGAATGTTCTTGCTGAGACCTTGGACCTTAGTCTCCTACAGAAATGAAAGAGCATTTGCTTGCAGTCCCTCTTCCTTTTGCCTTGCTGAGTGCCAAAGATCCATGATGTATTTTTCTAGCATGCAGCATGCTTGTGCCAACTGAATGAACATCGGCTCTGATCTGAACACTTGTGTTTTGAACTATGTATCTGGGGCATGATACAAAGATCTACACTTCTGGCCCAGGAGTGAGCTTCAGGGATTTAAGTGTAGAGCTGTGTTTGACAAGGGCACAATGAACTCACCAAAAACAAGGCCATCCAGGCAAGTGATTCCCCACGACAAATACAAACACTATGACACCAGCTTACATTTCAAGTGTACCCGAGGTCTCTAAGTTGAGATATACTTGGATATCCTGTGTGTTTGGCACTTAGTCTAGCAGTAATTTGAAAGCAAACAGATCAACACGTTAGGTGTGAGTAAAAAAACAACTAGCCAACTCAGAACACTCCCCATCATTCAAATCCAAACAAGTCTGTGAGGCAAGTACACTTTGCATAACCTATTGCTTAACAACTTCATAGCAGGGGAAGCAGCAAGGAACAAGATACTAAAAGAGTCACCAGTAAGCAATGCAGCAAATGGTGAATACCCTGGAGTGCTCTTTAAGTCTAACACACCTATGATCAAATTATTAAATAAAATTAGAATAAGTGCATTCCATCTTGTTTTGAACTGATCACTTCTATTTGGTAACCAACATGTAAAGTGTTACACTCCACTACTCTGGTAGCAGACAACCTCCTAGACCAAGTAACAAACACACCCTAACACTATTTTCTTTTCTTCTGCTTTTTCTGTTCTGTAAACCTTTAGTTTCCCCTGTACATACATTACAGTATTGCAATCTGTCATCTGCAAACAGAGAAATATACACAAATAGATATGTCAACTTGGTTGAGTGAATGTGAACTTGCCTGGCTCTAAAGGAGAATTTACAGAAACCATCTGGTTTGTATTTGCTTGGGATGGAACACAGATAAACCTGCAGGAATTCAGAGCTGCTGAATGCAAGTAAAAGACTGGCTTTTTCCCCCTAAATGGCTCTTTCTGAATCCATTTCACCTTGAACTAT